CAGGTGACTCAATAGTTAGCCACTGACGAGACACCCATGAGGAGAGGTTTTCACTTTGGCAGGTGTATTGGTAAACACCTCGCAGGACTGATGTGCATATGGGAGATTTCTGCTAGAGTGCGCTGACACCTTAGACCCTTCGTGGATGCGGTAATGGTGCCGGAGCCACCCTTATGAAGAATGGCATACTCGTGTTGGTCAGAGTACCCTGATGCGGGAGTTTTTGGTATAAGTCTGACTACTTAAAGATTATGCGAGAACTCTCCTACCCCAATACAATCAACATCCTCTCGAGAGACTTTAATTGAGATAAGCCTGAGCTTCATGATATTAAGTTTTCCAGCCTACTTTTATTCATTACATTTTGCAAAACCTGTGTTCCAGAGATTCCAAGTTTTGGGGCAGTCTCATCCTTTGGATTCCATCTTCCTGAGGGAGCTCCCGTTACTGTAGTTCACGTTAAACGTTGTTAATCTTTCACTATTCATGGACAATAGCAAGAGATGGTAGAGTATCTGGCCACAAGAGACTTCGGTATCAGAGGGGGTGGGCTAGTGTCACGGCCACCCAGCGGAGGAGGAGTGGCAGACCTGGGGTTTTCTTGGTTGCCTTTACTGCGTTTGGTTTCTTTGGTTGCATAGTAGGATTTCCTTTGTATCATGATTGGGACAAGTTGCCGCACGACGGAACCTAGTGGAACCGAATGGAAGAATTGTGGCTGCGCACCACACCAAGGACTTTCTTTTGTATTACTGATCAAGGAGGATTTCTTATCTATATAAGGGGGTGTGCCCCATTATATTTTACTTTCTTTACGCAATTTGGTAATCTCCTTTGGGCCCCTGTACCTAGGAATTACAAGCTCTTCTACTTCATGTCCTCCTGAACCCCTGAACCGTGACCCTGAGTCCCAGACCCCTGAACCTCGTACATCGTGCCTCGGCTGTACGCCTGTCCTTAGACCTCGCCTCCGAACTCTTGCCTGTTCCTGTCATCATGTACCTTGGGCTACCCGACCCTCAGACCCTGTCCATTACACTTCTCTACCTCCCACAATATATCACCTACCTTCAACACCAAAGCACCAGCAAACCAGCAATACTGAACACTTCTTTCATACACCTAAGCACCCAAGAGACATCTATGAATCAATGAAAATACTTGGTCCATTGACTAGGGATCAGCATACTGTTTTTCAGAAGGCCCAGAAAGCTCGTGGTGAAGTTACTACTCAACAAGCCAAGCTATACACTTGCAATCAACAATTATGCCTACAGGTAGAGGAACTAGAAAGTAAGAAGAGGAAGAGGAAGGTTGTTCTGGATTCAAACACAGTATTTGCCAATGTAGATACTATCAAACATTCACTTAAAGAGGCAGAAAGGGTACAAGTTGGGGTGGAAGCAGAAAAGGCAAGGATTGCAGAGAAAAAGGCTGGTGCGAAGGCAAAAGAACTATCACGAGAGAGGAAAGCAGCAAGAACATGTGATTCCATACAAAAGGCACAAATGAAAGCATGTATATTTCAACAGGAGTTGTAAATAAATGATAATTGGATGTTGTATGGTGGTGCCAAGGTGGCTGAAAACTAGGGGTGGCCGAAAACCCCCTACTCAAGCTTAATGCGGGTTGAGTTTGCCAAAAAAGTCCACCACTCCGCGACTAAAAATAGCTTAGCCAATCCTTGTAGGGGCTGACTGGCATCCCGCCTCCGGTAACCTGTCGACTCATGGTGCACTGATATCGCACGGCCGCATGCGCGCATTTCCTCTCTCCTATGCCGAAGGACAACAGCGCCAACTGCACGATCACACAAACTACTGTACTGGGTATCAAGGGTAAGTCTGTCGAACCCATAACGATTGGTTAGGAGTGTTTCAGCCAACAGCGAACAAGCAACTGCCACCTGTCAACCATTATATAACCAGAATGGATAGTTTCTGCTGTAGATAATTATCATGATAGTTAGTGTGACGAATACCAATATACAAGATCAGTGGGAAAAATGAAGAACAAGGGACGCCGAGTTGACTATATACGAGCTGGAGAAAGTGCAAGGAATCGGGAAACAACTCGTGATGAACGCTTACAGATCCTAGCACTACGAGAGAAGGCTGAGATGACCTGGAAAGTGAGGATCCACCCTATCGAATTAAGAGTAAAGAAGTTAATGAGAATAGGAGATCGGTGAAAGGCTAGATTTAGACTTCCGTACCTGTCAAAAAATATATAAGCGGGCAAAGGATCATGGCTCACCAATCGAATCGCTGGTGATCTGGACGGCCTGTTATCTTTAATGCAGAGGAAAAGGAGCGCTTACGGGCTTTTGTAACTCTGGATAAATGGACTCAGCGCCTTCAGTGGAAAGAGGTTATCCAGGAGCTAGGCTACAATTGCTCTGTACCTACTATAAGAGATGTGATGGCATCTATGGCGTATCATAAAAGGTTACCGTGGAAAAAGTTAGTATTATACCTGTTAATTTTATGTATATTTAGATTAATACAAGTAATATAAACAATTAGATGGGGTATCAGAAGATATAATAAACCAAAAAGGGTCGCTTGGTGCCAGGAACAGTTGAATTGGACTGTGGAGGAGTGGAAAAGAGTAGTTTGGACGGATGAATCGAGTTTTAGCACTGCTGGGTTTCACAATAGACCTTGGGTTACACGGCGGCCAGAGGAAGAATTCTATGAGGATTGTGTAGATCAGGTATGGGAGTCTGGCCGTAAGAGTATTATGGTATGGGAAGCTTTCTGTGGAATGATGAAGTCTCCACTCTATGTAGTACCGCCTGGAACTACAATAAATTCTGCTAGGTAAACTATGTATATTATTTTTAAAGCCTGATTAAACTAATACTACTAGATATACTACGAATGTCCTGGAACCTCTATTAATCCCATTCTGGTATGAGGTTTGTGAGGAATATGGATGGGCAAGAGTGGTTGAGGACAATGCCCCCTGGCATAAGAAATTTGCTGTTCAGTCCCGGCAACGGCATGGGGTTCAAGTTGATAGTATTGAATGGCCTCCCCAATCACCAGATCTAAACCTCATTGAAGCCTTTTGGGCTGATATGGAAACGGAACTTGGCCAGACACATGAAAGGGCCGAGGATATTGATACTTTAATTCTTATGCTTCATGCTACATGGGAGAGTATCACAGCAGAAAGACTATCAAAATTGATTGCTAGTATGCCTAGTAGACTAGAAGCGGTAATTGCAGGGGGAGGAAATGCTACGAAATATTAATTTTTGTTGTTTTTATTTTTTGTTCTATATAAATATTGAGAGTTCGACAGACTTTTTTTCTTCACCAATTTTTGTCCAGATTAGCGAGCTACAACCAATTATATGTGCAGATAGTCCGCATATCCATATAAAATCGAGCCTATAGGAGAAAGTTCGACAGACTTATGCTTACACCCTAAGTACTCGTACGGTACTCGAGTAAACTACGTGCTCTAGCCTTAGTGCTTAGTAAATTACCGGTGCACTATTCACCACAATAATTGCGCCTCGCGCGCTACCTTGGACGTCCAAAATTCTATCTTCAATAGAGCTGAGTAGTATGTGTGTTGCCACATGTCATTTGTTGGCCATTTACCAACTCCCCAAATTAATCACCCTATGCCAGCCTCGCGCCACCTCCAGTACCACCTGTCTCATTCCCGTTGGTAGTTCCCACGGTTGGGCCGACAGCGCTTACGCGCCCGGAAAATAGTCTGCTCGCTGTCATGGGTCTCACGAAATTATGATTGATACAGGGCAGGCGTGTCATGTTTTCGATTTTCACTGTTTTATGCAACGGCTCTGGTTTCGAGAGCTCGATCGATTTTGGGGCCTATTACTCGTAGTGCGCTGGTTTAACCTCGCAGATGGGAACGGGGGTGCTGTGTCATATGATATCGGCGTAAGGGGCCTCCCGCGGGTGGCGGAGCTCTATTCGTGTATCGGCATGGTTGGTTACACGAGTATGCTCAAATTTCTACACCCTGCAGTTCCAGCCGATAGAGTACTCAAACGTGTATTCCAGAATGCACGGCTACCTCACTAGGTGCCCGAACTGTGCTCACACTCGTGGTATGCAGGAAAATCCTCTCCAGTCCGGAGATTGTTGTCAACTTATCATCTCATGTAGACTCTTCTGAGGCGTAAAAGGGAATGCATCAAATGATGATTATTGTCCAAAGCCAACACTTCCCAGGCTATTATGCGAGGAAGCTGGCTGCAGGGTTAGGGTACCGTATTCTTCACTTTTCTTGAGCGTCTCCCCCGGCAGCCTGATAGCCCAAGACTTCCGGGTTGCCCATACAAAACTTTCACCCCTCTTACCACCGCGAAACACTGTCGCTCTAATCCCCACCCCTCACCCCTGCGCTAGACACTATGGCTCCTTTGAAGTGAAATAGCTAGACCCGGAGCCGGGATCACATGCCAAAGCTACCTCAAAAGTAGAGAATTATTCATCTCCATATTCAAGGGTGGGTCCTCGGCAACCCGTTCTATGGTACCATATCTCGGTATTGACATGTCTTAGCGCGAGCGAAACGATTTTGAAAAGCCTCGGTTGGCGAGGTCGTCCACCTTTCCCATTTCAGATACCCTAGCGACATCTCGTTAATTACTGCTCTTTCTTACCTAACCTTTGAACATGGCCTTACAGTAAGCTGAGAACTAGAGTATAAGATGGACCGGTAGGTTCCCCTTCCCTCCAATGTCTGCGTTTTCAAAAACAATGGGCACGCGCCTAATATCCTTCCCAGAGGAATCCAGGGCGATATCCGGGGAGACTTCAGCGGAAACCCCGGGGATCACAACGTTTTCAACAATAATAATAACACAGAGAACATTGCCGATAATCACAGAACAATTTACCAAAGATGTGTGTTTAAAGCTGGGGGAAGAGGTATCGTCAGATTTCCAGAGAGATTTCAAGCAATGTTCTAATGCGCTATTAGTAGTAGAACAAGCATCCAGGCCTTATCGCATAATTCCCTATTGCAAAAATAGCAATTTCACTGGCCGTGAGGATCTCATTGAATCGCTGAGGAGGTATTGTGAGCGTGAAGGGCACAACCAGATCGCGCTTCATGGATTGGGGGGTTCTGGGTATGTATTCATGATCGCCATTTTAGGAGTCTACTAACCTCGTTTAGAAAGACCCAGATTGCCCTCGAATACCTCTATCGGCGCGCAAGCGCGAGCGATTGTGATCTTTTCTGGGTGCGCGGGAGTGGGCTGCCAAAGTTTAGCGAAGACCTTAGAGTGATAGCACAACATGTTCGGATTCCACCACCCAGCGCCGAGCCAGACGAAGAGAGTCTCCTGTTAAATATCAAGAGGTGGTTTGAAGGACAAGCCAGTGGCGATTGGGTGTTGGTTATTGACAACGCCGACAACGAGGAGGACTTTATGGGCAACCGCGGTCGCATTCCCAAATTTGTACCACAAGGGTCTCGGGGTACCTTGATACTCACCACCAGATCAACCCAGGTTGCGTCACAAGAGCGTTGCGAAAGGATTGAGGTCAGAGAAATGCCGGAGAATGAAGCCCAAGAACTGTTTCTGAAACTCTTGGGTAACTTGAACTGCTCGAGAGATGAAGAAAAAGTAGCGATCTCAATGATCCTGAAATCTATACACCATATCCCACTGGCTATCATAGGAGCGGTAGCCTTCATGACTGAAACCCAGACTCCGCCTTCTACTTACTGGACCATTTTTCGGGGAAGTGACGAACAGGCCAAGAGCCTTCTTTCAAGGCCATTGTACGATATCCAACGAGAGAATATCCAACGAGAGACCGACATTACTGAGAGCACCCTCACTACGTATTTCATCACCTTTGACCGGATTGCAAGGGTGATGCCCCTAGCGGCGGATCTTCTGCGTTTAATCGCCTTCTTCGATCACCAGAACATACCCGAAGAGCTATTGCGCCAAAGCGGTTTGGAAGGGATAGACGATCAAATGCAGTTTCGTGAGGCAATTGGAAAACTATTAGGATTTTCGCTAGTTACGGCCATCGCACATGAGGACAAGACATTTTACGAGCTACATCGATTGGTGCAACTGTCTTTGCAAGTGTATTTACCAGCACAAGAGTTAAGCCGATGGAGGGCCAACGAACTGAAAGTGGTTTCAAGGGGTTTCCCTCGGCATTGGATCGCGTGGAAGGATGTTAGCTCTGCATACATTCCTCATGTACTTGAAGTAACCAACAATTCAACGGATCCCATTGCCGAAGAGCTTAGTTTTCGCCTAGGACGGTACTTTCATCATATAGGTTCATACAATAACGCAGAAACACAATTGCGTCGATGTATTGCCCTTCGGGAGGAGAGTAAAGAGCATGACTGGGATGAGGAGGGTCCGCGGAGAGTTCTATTCCTGGGTTTGATATGCATACATCAAGGAAAGGCAAATGTAGCCGAGGACATGCTTCGGAGGTTATTAGAGCATATTGGGAAATCATTGGACCCAAATCATCTAATCGTCCAGGACGCAATTCGACACTTGGCTTGGGCGCTATTGAACCAAGGAAAGTACGAGGAATCGCAGAAGATGTATTGGCGTGGACTGGAGGGGGACGAGAAGATTCATGGACCAGACCACCCAAGCACCCTAACAAGTGTCAACGGCCTGGCTTGGGCGCTGCAAGACCAAGGAAAGTACGACGAATCAGAGAAGATGCATCGGCGTGCACTGGAGGGGCGCGAGAAGATTCTTGGACCCGACCACCCAAACACCCTAACAAGTGTCAACAACCTGGCTGGGGTGCTGAAATCCCAAGGAAAGTACGACGAATCCGAAGAGATGCATCGGCGTGCACAGGAGGGGAGAGAGAAGATTCTTGGACCCGACCACCCAAACACCCTATCAAGTGTCGGCAACCTGGCTGGGGTGCTGAAATCCCAAGGAAAGTACGACGAATCAGAAGAGATGCATCGGCGTGCACTGGAGGGGCGCGAGAAGATTCTTGGACCAGATCATCCACACACCCTATCAAGTGTCAAAAACCTTGCTACGGTGGTGCGGCTCCACGGTGGGCCTAGCGATGCACGTAGGATAAAGCGCCGTCCACGGCAGGAACTTCCTGTAAACCCCGACAATATGCAGTCCCAATCCTCTGGCCGTGCCCCCCGTCGTTCCCAGAGGAACACCGTCCTCCGCCATTCACGTAGGATCGCTGCCCGCCGCCAGGTCGGCAGGCCGCCAAAGTGATTCGCCGTTTCGGAGGCTGCCCGGTTGCACCAGCTGTGTGAGTAGTGAGCTACTCGCTCCCACTGGCGAGGAGACAGTAGGAATACACGGGGCGACAGTGGTGGACTGTGTAGGACCAACTAGAATGACAAACCAATGGTCAGGAGTGGCAAGTTGCTGCGGTGTGGTCCGAACGAAGTTTTGGGCATTTTTCCGTCTTTTATATATTTCTTTTCCTTTGTTACTTTTCACTTTTACCGATTTATTAGTTCCTATGCCTTCCCACCCAATACGATACATTCATTAATCAGTACTTTTTTACAAACCAGAGCCATAAGAACTCACTCATTTGCTATTGTTCCACTCTGTATGCCAATAGCCGAAACTTAACGCGAATTACTCACTGCCCACCCGTGCCCTCCCAGCTGGCAGATTTCCTGTCGGCTTTCCTGCGCGGATGTTTTTGGCTCTGCATTCTCAGATAAAAAAATACCATGCGGTATACCTCCCCTCCCCCCCCTTCCGGCAAAGGCCTGATGCCATATCCTCCCACGCCCGTACGGGCTATAAAATTACAACTTGCTTCATCCCGGGGCACTACGGGGCACCCCAACACCCTACAAGTGTCAGAAATCTGGCTGTAGCGCTGCTAGTATGCCAACCGCAGCACAATGAGTGAGCGATGGTGAGTTATTGCCTAGTGTATTGCGAAGCACCAGCTCTCACTTGTTAGCCGCAATCACAAAGATATGACTCCTGCCTCCGGAATTTAGCCCTTATTCTTTTTATTTCTTGTGCTTATGGGGTGGAAATATTCAGGTTCAGTTTACCCAGAACTATGCAGCCCACCTGCCCGAAATACCGCCGAAACGAGCCAGGAGAGGGGTTAGAAGTCTGGAAATGAGAGGTGGTGGGGAGGGGAAAGTGGGTAGTGGAGGGGCACTAGACGTAGGGTGGGGAATCGGAATGGGAAGCGGGTGAGGGGTGGAACGGAGCGAAAATGGATGGAGGGGGGCGTGGACATGACAGCGGGGAGAAATGAAGGGAGGGGAAGAATACGAGGAATGTAGGAATCCCAGAGCAGTTTTCGGAGGCAGCCAGGCTGACCCGCTCATCGCCTATAGATACACAGTCTGGCCAGGCCAGGTAAAGGTGAGACTGGCCAGGGTGATACGGGAGCCTGGGCACGCCGCCAGGGTTTCATAATACACTGTATTTTTTTGAATATGTTGTCAATGCAGGGTAGATATCCCATAGCAACAAGAAAATATCCCTAGACCCCCCCAAATGTCTTGAAATACCTGCCTATATCTGCAGATGCCCACGGAGATAATATTTCGAGCTAGTTACAAATTTTAGCCGTTACTATGCTCGGCACACTCTCACGATGGTTGGTTTTCTTGTTGCCATAGTTTCTGGGAGGGCGCTTTGGCCCAGGGTGCGCTCTGGCTGTGGCGTACTTTAGCTTCCGCGCGCTCCGTTTGGCTTCCCGGGAAAGCACTTGTGCCGCGGGAATGCGCGGAGGTCTTGGAGCAGTGCATCTGCCTGAAGGAAGGCGGAAACGCTGGAGTGGAAGCAGAAAGGCCCTGTGGAAGGCCAGCGGCTGTGGGCAGCGGGAGTTTTGTCTTTCCTTTCCTAGCTTTTCTTGCTTGCCAGTGTGTGGGAGATGTACCCGGAAGGTTAGGGCTTCGTTGTTTTAAACGTCCCGATTGGCGAAGGCTATTGCGACAGCGAAAAGAGCGAACAAACGGTGAGCATTAAAAAATGGTGAGCAACCGGCGAATCTAAGTCCCTCGGGGGGGACGAGCGAATGATAGGTTGCGAAACTAATCACTACGTGAAACGGTGCAACCAATGGCACACAACGAACACCACGAAACGAAACGAAACGAAACGAAACGAAACGCCAAGCTGGCCCACGCGAAACGATCGCACAACCCACGAGGGGGGGGGAACTCTTCTCTCCGCCTAATTCACTCTATCCCGTTCGCTAAACTAACGGTAATGACAGGAGTATATAGTCTATCAACCACAAAAACAACGAGGTCCTAACCCCTCAGGTACGCCCCCCACACTCGCAAACAAGAGAAGCTAACAAAGGAATGACAAAACTCTCGCTGCCCATAGCCTCCGGACATTGACTTCCCAATCTTCCCTGCGGCCTTTCCACTCTCTCAGTTTTCCTTCCTGAGGATCTATTGCTCCGAGGCTCCAGCGCATTCCCGCGGCCGAAAAGAGATCTCCGCTTGCGGAACCCGAAGTGCGCCGACGCCGGAGTGCGCCCAAAAGCAAAGTGCGGCCCCAGAGACTATGCGAACAAGCAGGCAAACCGTCGCGAGAACATGCTCAGCAGCACCCCGAAATTTCCAACAGATTCGTTGTTTTGCTCGTGGCTAGGTTGTGGCTAGGGTGCCGCAACCCCCGCATCCCCGCAATCTCGGTTCTCCGGAGCTATCTTCCCGAGTGCCCGCCGGTTCAGCACAACCTTGCTGCTCCACATCACTTTATATTTTAAGGCAACTTTGCGCTTATATATATGCTTATTATAAATATATATATAACACCCTTAGTGTATAAAAGGAATATATTGAATCTAAACTAGGTACCTCAAATGACAGTAATATTGTGGACAACGGATATACTACTGGTATCATACTGGGTAAAATATTATGTAGCATTGTGAGATACCAGTATCAGAGAAGTTTCAGAGATATCAAGCAAGTTAGGTTTTAAATATCATATCCAGAAGTAATATTGCGTTAAGCAAAACGATATGTTCGGGCAGGATGTGGTGTTGAACGGTCGGGCACTCGGGAGGAGTGCTTGCGGGGGGCGGGCTTGCGGGAATGGGGGGGTCGTGGCGCCCAAGCCACAGCCTCGCAAACACTCTTGGGGGACCTGACGGGAGCTTTAGGGCCTGTTTGGCATGCCAGAATTTGGACTTAAAATCCGGATTATCTCCTAAGTCTGGACTCTCAGTCTAATCCTATTTGGCAGGTCAGGACTTGGACTAGATTTTCACCCTAGGATTAGATCAGGATTTCGAACTAGGATTTTCTCTAAACAAAGACACTTGTCACAAGGCAAACTCAAGAAGGCATTAGCGCTAACCACTTTCTTAGCTTGTAACGCACAAGCAAAGCACATACCTAGATAATAATTATTATCTCTATTATTTTACATCAGATACACAAGTCCTCCCTAGTCCTAATCTAAATCCTGTCATGTTTGGTATTGCTAGTTTACAAAGTCCAGACTTTGCAGTTTTCGGGCTTTGGTTTTCAAGTCCGGACTTTAAGTCCAAATCCTAGTCTAATCTTGGCGCGCTAAACAGGCTTTCGGGTATCAGAGGCTCTTCCTTGTGCGATAAAATCGCATGTCGAATCGATTCTTTCGGTTCGCACGAGGGGAGTCAGTTTATTCGGCCCTCCGCCCTCACACCCGAGTGTTAGACTTATCTTTTTATCTAGTTTGTCATTACAGTAAAACTGGTATGGGAAAACCGCTCGCTTAGAAGAGAGGAGGGTACTGTAGCATACTTCGAGCCAACAATTTCTACATGGACCGCCAAATTTTGGCTTTTCACGCTTAGATAAATTTACCGTGCTGGCATTATCAAGCCAAGGTAGGCACCTAGTCTATCTCCCCCGGCGAGCATGCCAGTAACTGCGCATAATAGGTAGTGTGATTAGCGACCATGGGATAGCAGTTTCCAGGAATTCCTTTTTCTCTCTTGGGTGAGTATACATGATTAAATAAGCTTGGTGAAAGCAGCTTCCATTTGATATCGCTACCAAAATCCTACCTATTTTGCCTAAATCTTGCCATAAACTACTGGTTGTGTGTGCTAATATTCCTCAATCGAGTCCCCCCCATTTGCGATGCAATATTGTACGGCGCACCGGGTCGTCAAAGGGTAGGAAGAAAGACCGATAAAGTCAATCTGGTTTCGCGGTGTAATGAAGACCTAACAATTATGTCGTGCTAATGCCTCCCATAAGCCTTCGGCATGGTCGGGTTAGCCGTCTTTCTACGAGTGCGGCCGATAGATATATTCGTCACGTGAGTCTGATAAGAAAATTTCGGTGCACCTTTTGGCTGCAATGTGTCCTTAGATAAGGCACGTGAGGAATATATTTATCGGCCTCACTCGTACAGAATTGATTCGGGTATGAATGTGGGTGGCTGAACAGTCAAGGATTAAGTGTGATAACACTTCTTGCTCGATTGATCAAAATACATGCCAAATTCATTAATTCTCCTACGGTAGAGCAGGTCAAGGCCCCCGGAATCCCTTAGTGTCCGGCTCCCACCCTCAATGCCCGCGGGAGTGTTAGATGTGTCTCTTATTTTTTTTGTTCTTTGCCTCGTTGTAGTAAAGGAAGTATAAAGTTAGTGGAGTGCTCATTTAAATGACAGAGTGGTAGGTAAGAATTGTGTTATCCGCACAGGTCTAATCAGCAGTGAGGGTGCAGCCCCCAGTTTGTACTTGATCCCAGCACTTACCCGTAACCACGTCGGTGGCGTTTGTCAACACAATCACTACCAGATTTCCACACACAGACTGCGAGGCCCCGCCTCCTCTTGCTTAGATAGCACGCTATTATTGTCAATCTACAGCGGGAGGAAATTTAATAGTACTTCATGGCTTAGCTGGTTGTGCGAGCACTGGTGCTTTAGCATCAGATTAACGCCCCTATCAACAATTTCCGTGCTTGGTAGCCTTTATGGCCCCCGCACCACAAATCACGTGTTACATACTGTACTTCGAGGCAATGCGGGGTGTGGTTCCACCATGGGGCAATGAGGCTAAAGGAACAGACCCCAGC